CAAATTTTAGAACATCGAACATAAAAGGTTTTATCAAAGAATTTTATTAAAATGTCTATGGAAAATAAGTTTGTTTTTACTGCTGCAGTTTAGATATTTACAAGTTACTAATTCTTTCCAGGACACCCAAAAAACTAAAGAAAGTTCAAGAGAGAGAGGGTGTTCTTGTACCTGGGGAAAAGGACCTATCTCCAAAACAACTCAATCAGCTCCTAAGGAAATACCCTCAGCCAAATTGATTTTTTTTTTTTTTTTCTAGATATGTTTGTGTAATAAAGTGTACATATGGAGTTGAGTTTCCCTCCTCAATTTTATTCAAGAAACAATAATTCTATGAAAAGAAAAGTAAAAGGAGGTGCAACACTGTTGTTAAAGTGCTAGACTTAGGACTACATATTTAGGATTAATTGTCCCCTTCTCAGTGCTCTGAAAGATGGGCTAGAGTCCATTTAAGTAATTTGTTGATGCATGCACCCAATAATTTGCATTATTAGTAAAGTCTAACCAATAATGTAAAAGAACAATGACAAATATGCTACCACAGGACAAGTAAAAGGCCAGCAGCATAGTTAGCTTAGTTTCGAGCAGCTGTTCTCCACATCTGATAGCACTGTGCTTTGAGGGGTTGTAAAGAATTACTACTGCTGTGCTGTCTCAACAGTCGGCATGTAATAATTACACCAATTAATACTTTATCAATATATGGTTTACATTGTTAATGTATGTACAAGAATATGACCAATATAATTCAACACAAGCACAATAACTGGGTCAAATAGAAAAATACCATTTATGGAGTAATTACTAGGTCTTGCAACAACTAGATCCCTGCAAGGTACCCAGTGATGTAGGATCCTTCAATAAATGCAACTTAAAGCTAATGGGCCATTATTGAAATATATGCATCTTTAAATAATATATGACCCCCCTCCCCCAATCCACTACCAATATTTATCATGGGGGGACCTGAGCTGAAGACTTATGTTCGGGGCTCAGCCCTCAGTTCAACCAATTATTCATGGTGTTACCTTCTTCCCCTTTCCTTTTCCTTCTCTTCTCCAACCCCTTCTGCTGTCCACTTCCTAAGATGTAAGAACTGTATTGAGTATATGAAATTATTCATGGTGTTACCTTCTTCCCCTTTCCTTTTCCTTCTCTTCTCCAACCCCTTCTGCTGTCCACTTCCTAAGATGTAAGAACTGTATTGAGTATATGAAAGGCTGGCCATGGTATTTCTGTTGTTAGTCGTCCACCCATTATAATGACTGTCAAAAATAAACCATTTCTCTTTCCTACGTATTTCAGCCTCACCATGAAAAATGAAGATTTCCTACCGTTATTTGGGGCATCGACATTAGTCCCTTTATTAACTAGTCTATCTGAAATTAACTTGTGTCCCCAACCCTTGCCTTTCCTTTGAGAACGATTTCGACCTCTGCTATTGCTACCCCCTACTCGATTCTTGATGATAGCCTGATCCTTCCACCCAGGTCATTACTCAACCGTCAGATATAACTATTCCTCTCTCCCAACGTAATCCACTCCATCTCCTGCACAGTTTTCATTTTCTGTCCCTTTCCTCTCTTATTACCACTCTCCAGCATTATTGTCCTCCCCGCAGTACTACGCCTCTCCTCACCACTTTCTCTTACTCGTACTTCTATCCATACTCTGACAATACCCTCTCTTCCAACAATGTTTCCATAAACAATTGGGCAAAGCTTCCATCGGCAGCTGTTCCAATACCCATTCTTACCTTCTCCTACCTCTTACTCTTTCCTCTTCTCCTTATAGGAAAACTTTCATTTCTCAGACCTCCCCACCCAACTCCCCTCCAGAAACTATTTAAGGACGTCCATTACATCCTAAATATGAACCAAGAGAACATCCACCCTTAGTCTTTACTCCCATTCCCTCTGTATTCAAAGTGACTGCCGACATCTACCCATCCTCCTCCTGATGTTCCCTGTCCCCACCTTCCTTTATCCCAACACGTCCCATCCTCAGCCTTTCCATCTGTACTCCCACAGTCATCCTCATTATCCTTTTCACTCCTCACGTGACTCCCTTTTGTCACAACCGTTTCCTTCTCCGGATAATTGCCATCCCGACGTTCTCCCTGATATATCTTGTCTCATTCCCGGGTTCTACATCTCTGACACCCATTTCTACCTTTATTACCCATTGATTACATCATAAAGGTTCTTCTTACAGTCCCAAACATTCTGTCATCCTATGCCCGCTTTACTGAAGCCCTTACCTCTGTTTTTCCTCACTTGTCCCCTTACGTTTTGGAATCCCCCCACTTTTTCCTCTGATAACTAATTCTCCTTCCTCAGACGCAATCTTCCCCATTTTACTAATCAATGCCTTACCCCATTTGCTCCCCCTCTTTACATTTTTCACTTCCATGCTATCAGTGATCAACGACCTTTGTCATCTAACACGTTTTGTTCTCATCATATTTTTTTTTTACCATTTCCGCCACAATATTTTCCAATATTGCTATATATAACTTTTCATGTCTAGTAAATTATTTGTTTTAATCATTAAACATTTATATAATGGAGTGCTGTGATGAATATTATTGCTACGTATTGAAATTCATCCTCGGCAAAACACAATATAAAAAGTGTTGTTACTGCACCAAGCTGACCGTCGCCATGGCTGTGGTCATGCGGATCTGCGGATCTGTGATACGCATTTTTGTGCAACAAATTTCCGGTGAAAATCAAATTGGTGGACATAATAGCAAAGCGTGGCGGCCTTCGATCGGTAGATCCACAAATCGTGTAAGACTTTCGTATGTGAGGCGTTGCCGAGAAGACCATTTGAAAATGGAAACAAAGGCACTGAGAACCAAAATGTGAAAGACACTTCAAAGTAAATTTTCCCATGTAACAATACTGATATATACAAGAGGTATAAGCGGAAAGCTTGACACACGAAATTATCGAATTGTACAAGAGAGGCCCTGAATTACTTTAATTCAACATCAAACTGTGACCCCCCCCCCATCCCGTGCACGCGATGGGCTTAAGAAACGGAGACAGGGCCTTGGATCTTCGCCTTCGCCTCAACTGATTTTGCATGGCCTTTTCTCCCCCTTTCCTTCTCTTCTTTATCTCCTTCTTCTGTCCACTTAAATCTAATCGACAACTTATTTTTACCGTTTTTGTCACAATACTGCTATATAACCTCTGATGTCTAGCACATTTATTTTTCACCATCAGTCATCAGACTGTGAGGTTGGAAATTCTTACGTCGCCTCTCTCTAGACCTCATGTTCTAAAGTGACAGAAATGTGTAAGCTCATGGAATTCTGGGATGGAGATGGTGTGAGGTTGAGCTAGCCTGATGATTTTAGTATACCTGACATAAGGTCATTCATTGATCACTTTCTTTCTTTCAATATTTCTTGTTTACTTCTCTCCATGAAAAAGACCAACCAGTCAGAAGTGGCCTGAAAGTCTGTTCTAGCAGGTGTCAGAGGGCTTGGATAATTATGTCCCTTGCTCCACATTTACTCGTCACTTAATGCTAACCTAGCATCTAAAGCCGTCTTTAGTATAGTACGAAAGTCCATCACGTTTGAAGTTTGACCGGCATCTTATTCGTTATACACGCAAATTGGCTGTTGAATGCACTGCTAGGCATAGGGTGAATAAGGAAAAACACTACCGAACACATCACTTCACACAGCATGCTCAAGTGTCATGATTACCAAAAGTATGAGTGACTGCTCAAGACTATCTCTCTATCAAGAGCTCTAACCCTGGTAATACCATTTACACTCCCCCAGTCCCTTGCCCGTTGTTGTCGTGGGGGGCTTAGGAGGCGGAGACTGGGACCCAATGATGGGGACCTCCCCAACCTTGGGACTCAGCCCTCGACTCAGCTAATTTTGCATGGTCTTTTTATTTCCCTTCCCACTTTTCGTTTCTGTCCCTTCACCAAACCCTTCTGCTATCCACCTCCTAAGGTGTGAGAGCCATGTTGAAAGGATGAAAGGCTGACTTTGTGCCAGTCCCGAACGGCTTGAGGGAGCCATGGGCACGGTATTCCCCTGATTTAGACCTAGCCCTTACCCCTCAAGGGGACCCTGAGGGGTGGACTGTTTTTATCCCCAACATAATCCAGGCTTACCATGGCCAGTAATGAAAATATATCCCCACTGTTAGGAGCAATGAGGCTTGCCCCTTTATCAAATAGCCCCAACGAAGTAAACCCACCCGATTCCTTGACCCCAGGCTCTCCTTTGACCACGGCTCCGAACACTGCAATAACTACCCCCTCATCAACGCCTACTAGTACAGTAGCCAACAATCAACCCTCAAGGAACATTTCCACTCTCCCAGCATGCTCAACTTCAACACCTCTACCCCCACAACCTCCAACATCAACCTCCCCATCCTCCCTTATTAATACCTTACAGCCTTATTGCCCACCTCTCCATAACACTACCTCCCTCAACACTACTCCATCTTCGTCACGCCCCCGCCCTTCTACTACTCCTATCTCTAAAACAATCTTGAATACTCTCTTCAGTGCAGCCAAATGGGACCGATTTTTCGTGATCCCTCCCATAGCTCCCTACTCTGACAACACAATTCTCTTCCAACAATGCCTCCAAAAACAAGTAGGCAAAGTCTCTTTCCGTAGCCGACCCGACCGCTCCCATCTTGTCACAGTAACATCCGAAAACCAAGCTATAGCATTAACAAAACTAACTGACCTATATGGTAACCCCATCCTTGCAGAACCCCATCCAACCCTCAATACTTGCACCGGAACAGTCTCAATCTCCCCAGCAAATTGCCCAATCTATGACAAAGATTGGTCAGATTGTGGAGAAGACCTACATGCCTGTCTCACAGACTATGATGCAACATCAGTACAATGCTACTCCATTCCCCCCAGAGGTCATCGAAAGAAACCCACTAACATAGCCAAAATTACCTTCCGTAGACATGACCTTCCCTTTAACGTCTACATAGGAAGAGAATCCCTCCCTGTTCGTCCATACCAACCTCCTCCACGTCAGTGCCAAAATTGTTGGCGTCTAGGAAACCCAGCCAAACATTGCTGTTCCACAGCTAGATGCCCACTATGTGCCCAACCTGGCCATACCCGATCTAATTGCTCTGCACAATCACGCACATGTGCCAACTGTGGCGGCCCCCATAATGTATTTTATAGGGGCTGTGTCACCTACAAATTTGAATCTGAGGTAGCAACTCTCAGATTCAAACTTGGACTCACACTACGTGAAGTCAGACAGGAAGCACGT